TTGAGGGTGCAAAGACCCGTTTGTGCGTATGGCTCCATCATGAAACGGCGCCGGGTTTGGGCGTCTCCCGTTAACTGACGCCCAATATATGGATGATGGAAACCAATAGACCGCGTATAGGGCCGCTGCCAGGGGGTCGCCGGGGCGCGTCTGGAGCTGGCGCAGGACGTGACAGCATGCGGGCCGCCAGCCGAACGCGAGGTGCTACACGACCACCTAGTAGCCCCTCGCATCCATCATCCCCACCTGGCTTGGTGTCGGCAGGGTCCTTTCGGACTCGGCAAGCGGCACCCGCCGCTGGTGGAGTACGCCGCATGCGTTGGACGAAGGAAATGAATACAAACGTATTGCGGGCGTATTTTAGGGCGAAAGTGGAAGAAATTGGAGGTTTTGCGTACCGGGCTATGATGCATCGACTATTTGCTGAGCTGGAGCCGTCTATTACCGTTACCGAGCAAAACCTGGCAGACCGAGTTCGGTACATCATGCGCTCAAAAATATTTGATGACGCCGAACTCGAACGAGGCTATTCCTTCGTCGAATGAAAATACTACAACAGGTGATGCGGCTCTACGAGTTGCAGAGCAACCCGCACACGTAGATGCCGCCGTAGATCTCCTTATGGTTGACTTAGGCGATGATGGAATAGTTGCCCAGGAACAAGAGCAAATGAGGAGCGTATTGGAAGAGGCGATTAGGGAAACGCGCTGTACGCCTCTCGAGAATCGACCGCGACTTCTCCGTATACCCCTAAGCAAGCGGAATCGGACTGTCGTGAGGGCTCTCAACCCAATGCTGGTGACCTATTTGGAAGCCAGCCGGAACCTTTGCGACACGGACTCAATTCTTTTTGGCGCCGCACTGGCAGTTTGCTGTATTATTGGCGCCAAACTTCCCACGGCTGGACGCGCTACTAGACACAGTAGCGCCATCCCAGCCTGGAGAAGAAAGATTGAGGACCGTATCGCAAAAGCAAGGGCCCTCATCGGCAGATTGATAAGCTTCAGGTCGGGCAATAATAGGCCAAGAATTGTGCGCACTGTCAGGATGGCGTTTGGTGGGACAAATATCACTTTGTCCCAGCCGGATATAACGCAAAAACTGACGGAGCGCATAGACGACCTGAAGCAGAGAATCGCTGCTTGGGGGAAGCGGATTCGGCGATATACCGAGAGGTCGACACAGTTCAACCAGAATCGTCTCTTCCAGAGTGATCAGAAGAGGCTCTATGAATCATTGGAGCGACCAATGGTACGTGGAACGGGCCCAGCACCGAATCAGGCCGATACTATCACATTCTGGCGCGGCCTGTGGTCAGAGCCCGTAAACCACAGCGAGGGCCCTTGGACGGAAGTTGTGGCGAGTCAGTGTGCGAATATTACGCCCATGGACCCCGTCATCATAACGCCGGATGACGTGGCTGAGGCGGTCCGTAAGGCCCCGAACTGGAAAAGTCCGAGACTCGACGGACTGCATCACTACTGGCTGAAGGGGTTCGTGGTGTGTCATGTTGTGTTCGCCCTACAGTTTCAAGAGGCTCTCGACCAAAAGTCGCTCTCGAGCCCCTTCACTATTGGGATCACTCATTTGGTTCCTAAAGATCGGGATTCCACAGACCAGAGCAAATACCGCCCCATAACGTGTCTATCTACCATATACAAGACACTTACATCCATTTTGAGCGCGAGAATCACTAGTCACCTGAACTCAAATCAGGTGATGTCGCGCGCTTAAAATGGATGTCGGGGCAGTGGTCGTGGAACCAAGGAACCACTCCTCATTGAGGCCGTCATTGGCAAGGAGGTTAAACGCAACCGTCGGAACCTCTCTGCCACCTGGATAGACTACAAAAAGGCTTTCGACTCGGTGCCTCATACATGGCTTCAGAGGGTCCTCGAGCTGTACTCTTAAACCACACAAATGTCCCGTTATCAAAACCGTAATATGGTAGTTTATCTATTAACAAATCCATATTTATCGAATCGAATGCTTTTGAAAAATCTAAAAGAGTGAGGATCGTGCCTTTGCCAGAATCCGAAAAAGACAGCACGTCATCTACGACATTTATAAGGGCTGTAGCTGTCCCATGACTCTTCCTAAACCCTGATTGTAACTTAGGTAGTATTTTATTTAGTTCACAAAAGTATACTACTTGAAAGTTTACAACTTTTTCCAATATTTTTGATAAATATGGTAAAATGCTAATAGGCCTTAGGTCGCTTAAATCAACTGCGTTGTGTTTTTCTGGTACGGGACGAATTAGTGCAGTTTTCCACTGAAAAGGAAAAATTGATTCTGTGATAGACCTATTAATTATTGCTGTTATAACCTTTAATGTTTGTGGTAGTGTCAAAAGTATAATTTCCATACTAATTCGATCAACCTCTTGTGCGTTCGACTTGATAGCTATAATAACTTTTGCAACTACGCTTTCATGGACTGGCATTAACTTTAATGTGTTTGAGTTATATTTAGAACTTTTAAAGAATTTAGAATAAAACGAACCAGTATTGCTTATGTCCGGAATATTAAGAAAGTGGTGGTTAATTTTATCAGGATCATTAAAATGGTCTGGTAAATTGTTAGAATTTTTAAATGAAGGTAATGCAACCAATCTCAAGTTTTTCCACAAAATGTTTGCTTTATGTAGGTTCTGATTAATATGATAGTCAAAATATGCTTTCTTCTCAGTATTAAGATAACTATTAACTAGTCTTTTAAGAGATTTGTAATGAGTTTTATCACTTTCATCTTTGTCGATACTTATTATGAGCGCTGTCACGCAGTTGCATCATGTACCGAACATTACTAGTGAACCATGGCAGTTGTCTTTTTTTAAATGTTACTAATTTCTCAGGAGCATGCAGAGCAAATAATTCTAAATTTTTTTTGGAAAACTCAGATACCATTTGATCGACACAGCTAAACCCTATGATAGTATCCCAATTTATAGCTTCGAGATCTGATAGAAAAGCAAGCATATTGATACTTTTAATAGGTTTTATAATTTGTTGTATTGGTGCATCTTAGGTTTTTTAAAATGGAAGTCAACCAAAATAAAAGCGTGCCCTCCTAATTCTGGTGTATGTTTAACAAATGTATTTGTAAGACGTGCATCCGTGATAACTAAATCAATTAACGTTGCACTGTCTCGTGTGAAATGCGTAGGTTCTGAAATACAGTTACTTGAATTAGTATAGGTCAAAAATTGCTTAAGACGAAGAGTTTTACTGTCATTAGTATCCAAAATGTTAATGTTAAAATCGCCTAATAATATAAAATAATCAAAGTTGGATTGTGAAGTTAAAGTGTCGGTGAGAGAATCAAGAAAATTATCCACATTGACCAATTGTGGTCGATATGCTGTACCAATTAATATTGTAATCCTATTTATGATTACCGATATCCATTGTTGCTCCACTTCAGTAAATGTGTTAATATGTGGACAGGAACGAGCACTTACACCTCGTCTAATGTAGAAACCTACACCTCCGCCCCTAGTTCTTGATATGTTACACGCTCGAGGAATATGACGGAAGCTATATCCAGGAACTAATGGGGTTCTTACATTGTCACCTGTCTGAAGCCATGTTTCGTTAATTGCCATAATATCAGCAGAGTCACGTTGTAAGGCAACCTGGAACTCGTCTATTTTGCTTCTTATTGATCCAGCATTATAGAGACCAACTCTAAAACTTTCATATCTAGCCATTGTTATATAATATAATGTAATATCTTAAATTTTGAAACAAATTAAATAAAAAATAAAGGGAAAAGCTAGAACACAATAAGTTATAACTTGTACTGACCAACATCGAAATAAAATCAACACGTATAAACAATATTAAAAAAGGATTTCAACAGTTTAGCAGAATGTAGACAAAAGATTGAATTAAAATAAAAAAGTAGGGCACAATGAGATCTCTAATATTAACAGCAAAATATTTTTTTAACATTTTTACTGTTATCAGAATATTAAGTAATAAAATGTAATAACATTTGTAATCAAACTGTTCTAGAACTAAGTTGACATTAAAAGTATAACGAACATTAAAACTAATATACAACAGACCGAATAATAACAACAATAAGTTATAACCTGTACTGACCAACATCCAAATAAAAACAACACGTATAAACAATATTAAAAAGGATTTTAACAATTTAGGAGAATGTAAACAAAAGATTGAATTTAAATAAAAAAAGTAGGGCACAATGAGATCCCTAATATTTAAAGAAAAATATTTTTTGAATATTTTTACTGTTACCAGAATATTAAATAAAAAAATGTAATAATATTTGTAATCAAACTGTACTAAAACTATATTGACATTGAAAAAATAACTAATATTAAAACTAACACACAAAAAAACCGAATAGTATCAGCAACAATAAGTTATAACTTGTACTGACCGACATCAAAATAAAAACAACACATATAAACATTATTAAAAATTGTTTCCACAGTTTAGCAGAATATAGACAGAAGATTGAGTTAAAATTTAAAAAGTAGGGCACAATTATTAGATCCCTAATATTAACAGAAAAATATTTTTTAAATATTTTGACTGTTAACGGAATATTAATTAATAATAGAATGTAATAATATATGTAATCAAACTGTACTAGAACTAAGTTGACATTGAAATCAAACTGTACTAAAACTAAGTTGACATTGTAAGTGTAGTTGACATTAAAACTAATATACAACAAACCGAATAATAGCAAAAACGTTAGAAGCCCAAAGGCCACCAAAATCAATTTATAATCATTTAACTGTTTTGGAATATGGTTCACCAAAAATACGCCTAAAGTCGTCTTCCGAGTAGATGACGCGTACCGGAGCGTTAGAAGAATCTTCTCTCTTGACATAAACTCGGCCATCTTTTGTCCACACAAATTTCCATTTTAATTTTCGGGCCACTTCACCATTTCAAATAGCACACGATTTGGTTTCGTTAGCCTCTCATTAACATAAAACTTGGTTGTTTCTTTATAAGGTAACCCTAGATCTACAGTGGTGAGCGTACGGCGCACACGTGCATTTTTCAGTAGGATGTCACGAGTGATGCGGCGTGCTAAACGCACAACTAGGGCACGTGCCTCTATACGGTTTTGATTCCCTGTTTGCACCTCTTGAAGTAGATTACTCGAATGGCGACCGACACGCTCTGCAAATACTATGTCATGATCATTTAAGGTAACTCCCAGCTTATTTGCAACTGTCGACATTATATGCACTGGAGTTTCACCTGAAACTTCAGGTAATCCAACTATTTCAATGTCATTGAGCAACGCTTTCTGGTCCTTGTCATTTATTTCCTGTTTTAATTCTTTTATAATGGTCTTCATATGTGAAATGTTTGAAGGCTTATTTTGTTCACTTTCTACTTGTTTACGTACACATATGTTTTCTTGCTCAAGTGTTTGAACTTTTTCGCGAAGTGTACATAAATCTCTTTTTAAGTCGCATATTTCTCCTGTTAGGGATTCGGTTATTTTCAAAAACTCACTTTCCAACTTCATTAAAACTTCATTAAATTCTTGCTTAATTTCCGAAGCTAATGAGTGACGAGTGTTTTGTAACTTAGTGTCTAATTTATCGTCAAGCAATTTACCTAATTCTTCTAAACAAAAAGTAAAAGTATTTTGTTTTTTACCTCCATGGTGCTCAAAATCCGAAGGCGGCAGTTCATTTACTTGCATGTTATCACTAGACATGTTAATGACATCAGATGGTGATGAATCCCCACAGTTAACTTTTACCGATGTGTCGTCGTTTCTGGATCGCCGTTCCGTAACGTTGGTGCAAGTAGGACATTTCCATGATCTTTTAAATTTTTGATAGTTACCCATAAATTTCGCAGATGTAATATTAAGGTACATATAATGATAGGTTCCTTTACATAAAATGCATCCCAATAATTCATTTCGTTCTATAGAATTTTCACATGCTGAGCATTTTATTTTAAGATAAATTAAAAAAATAAAACTGTACTAATATACACAATGATAGTAATTATTTATACTAAATACTTTATAATTTGTTCAAACAACAAGTGGGTATTAGGAAAAACATACGCGATTCAATAATTGTAGACGAACTAGAACAATATGCAGTATCAAAGTCCACCGCACTGAGTATTAAAATTACGAAGCAATTCAATCTTTGTTCACACTACACTTTCTTTGCACTTTTACTTTAATTTTAAGTAACTAACTTCTAACTATTGATATTTGCTTTTTACACAGTATAAATATAAACATTAACTACAAATATATTTTTTCAACACGGAGTTAGTACAATACGATGTTAACTCGGCGATGTACGCGCTAATGTTAAATTAAAAATGCAGTAAAGAGTATGAGTACCTATTGTACTTTTTTGCAAAAAAAAAAATTTTAGCATGAAATTTTATAAAAAATAATTTTGACAAAAGTGTGAGAGCCATTCGCGAAAAAAAAATATGAAGACGATAACACAGTTTATTTTTTACTTTTTTCTTACTTTTTTATACACATACACGTAGTAGCGGTATGATGTGAATAAATAAACCACAGCAGCCGTTAGCGCTTAATATCCATTTTAAATTGGCCTGAACCGAAGCAAACTGAACGACCTTCCAACGTATGGACGCCATCACAAACTCTTGGGCACAACATTCGCCACAATGTTGGCCAACGTGAAGAGCTGCCATTACGCTAGCGGCATAGTGAGTAGTGACATAGACTGATATGTCTGAACTCAACCCCACACGGTGTCTGGTTTTAGTGAAAACATTTTCAGTCACATATTTGAAGTAGATGTATTGGAATGGTTATTACTTTATACAACTGTTGGTGTAGAAGGTAATCTTGTCGTATATACTACAATATGCGTGCGTTACGCTGCCCGACAATATTTTTTTTTTCAAAATTCTTTATACAACTCCTAGCTAATTTTACACGGCTATTGATTCGAAATTTACTGAAAGTACTCTGTAGATAAAATAAAAGAACACGAATTTTGCAATTTTACAAAACATTCTAGGTTATTTTATTTTAACAAAATCTTTGCGATTTTATTGTGAAAACGAAAAGTTAATTAATAGAATCAGGCGTTACTTTGTTAGGTTGGTAAAAATTACTTTGCGTACATCCGCTAGATAAAATAAAATGATGTGTCTTGCTTAGTTTGAAGAGCACCTCCCGCCCTCCCTCAATCTTGTACCCTGTATTGTAATTGATAATTGTATAACTGTATTTGTAATTGTAATTTTTACCAACTTTAAAACGAAAAGTGATATAATAAATGATGGTCATTAATGATTATGTTCAAAAATCTAAATGATTAAATAGATTAAATTAAATAACCAAGTGAAGACGGGGCGGGCTGCTAGTATACCAACACATATAAATTGTGATAAATAATAATAAAAGCAGATTTCTAATTCTAAACATCAAACAGCAATCACGTTTTTTTTATATTTTATTGGAATAGTGTCTTGTGAATTCAAACAAATACAGTATGTTAAGATTCGTCAAGAAGCCCCTGCATAACGCAGAGGTAATCCACAGATGTTGCCATGGAGTGAGCTAGCAAAATACCACGCGTAAACACCTCCCGTACCTTCCACATGTCGCTAGCGGGGTAAGATCGGAACACAGTTGAGAGTGCACGTTTTACGATGGTAACAGGGTAAAATCGATATGGTTGGTCCAACCACCAACTGTAATCAATTGCAATAAATATATATAATAAAATCCTAATGATGTTTTATGGAAGAGTTTACGAGATGGTATTAGTTTCATTGTAAACAGCACAGCAGTACTACTGATTTGTAGCAGTACTGAAATTTTGCTGGATTTGTTTTTTACTTTATATTTAAGTGAAGGTGGGTTATCAGCTAAATTATTTATTTTGGATACACCTAGGTTTAGCCGGCTACTACTAGCTGCAGTCTATTGCGGTTGGTTAAACTTAGGTGTATCATATATAATTTATAAATTAGATATATGTCTGCGGCTGTGGTTGGGGTTGCGATTGCCTACTGTCCCTCATATTACTTGATACGTCTATCCGTATTTTTACAAATTTAACAGTACACCTAAATTTAACCAACTACTGCTGGCCGCACCTAGTTCTATCCGGCTAGAACAAGGTGTAACCGCACTTCGGTTTTTAGCTGTAACATACACAATAATCCTTCCTTAAATTTCTATAATAGTGATTTTATGTTGTTTTCTAATTGAAAATAAATATTAATACAGAACAGAATTGACAGACAACTAACGATTTGAAAATTAATGCTAACTATGATTTTTTTCTAATAAAAAAATGTATCTAAAACTTTAGACTTATGCCATGAATGGAAAAATTATACTTGACATCTCTTTCATCGGTCTGTAAGTGTCTACTTCTGGTTATAGGTCTTTTAAGATTTGCCTTAATCGTTACGTACTCTTAGCAGGCGGGAATAGACGACTGCCGACAAACTGTAATGCACTGCCGACAATCTGTAATGCTGCCGACAAACTGTAATGCAGTTTGGCAGATGAAAATGTTAAAAACGTTTATTGTATAATTGGAAGAAAATAAATAAAAAAAAGGTGATGGCAGTACTTCAGACCAGACAAAGAGCAGTGTCAAATGTGCAAGACAACTGGCACATTTGACAATACATTTGAAGTCGAGTCTTTGCTGAACAAAGTCTCGGATTGGGGGCGACTAAATCTAGTCCAGTTTAATCCTCAGAAGACACAAGTTTGCGCGTTTACCGCTAAAAAGAACCCCTTTGTCGTATCTCCTCAGTTTCAAGGCACTCCCCATCTTGCCTCAGCCAGTATCGGTATCCTCGGAGTCGACATATCGAGTGACGTGCAGTTTCGTGGTCACTTGGAAGAGAAGGCCAAATTGGCCTCTAAAAAGCTTGGCGTGCTCAGCAGAGCGGGACAGTATTTCATGCCGCCACACCGCCTGCAACTTTACAAGGCGCAGGTTCGGCCTCACATGGAATACTGTTCCCATCTCTGGGCAGGGGCTCCCCAGTACCAGCTCCTTCCACTTGACCGCATCCAGCGCAGAGCGGCTCGAATCGTCGACGACCGAGCCCTTTCCGATCGGCTCGATTCATTGGCACTGCGAAGAGATGTTGCATCTCTTTGCATTTTCTTTCGCATCTACCATGGGGAGTGCTCTGAGGAATTGTTCGGATTAATCCCAGCCGCCAAATTTCATGAACGCACATCGCGGCATAACTCCCGATACCAACCACACCATCTGGATGATTGGCGGACCACCACTGTGCGATTTAGAAGTTTTCTTCCTCGCACGACTTCCTTGTGGAATCGATTACCATCAGCGATTTTTCCGGACCGATACGACTTAGGGACCTTCAAGAAAAGAGCTTACTCGTTTTTAAAAGGCCGGCAACGCATCTGCATTTCCCCTGGTGTTGCGGTTGTTCATGGGCGGCGGTAGTCACTTACCATCAGGTGAGCCGCATGCTCGTTTGCCCCCTCTCCTACAAAAAAAAAAAGAAACATTTGACACTGCTCCCTGTTATCGGTCTAGTTATTTTACATCTGACGTCAATAAGATAGGTGTAGTACCGCCATCTACCGCAAGTTATAAGATCTTTTTGACATTTACCATCGTCGCCTCTTACGACACCCGCGGGATGAAATAGGGTTCTTTTTTATAGAATAAGGGTGACAAACGAGCACACAGTCCACTTGATGGTAAGTGGGTGCTGTGACCCATAGACATCTACATTTATCTTCAATTACGACTCAAAATGCAGATGCATTGTCACTCGTGAGGACTAAGATGGAATGCCTCGCTTCCACTAAAATAGAGTCTCCGGTTCTTTATACTCACCATACGCAACACAGCAGCGTTATGCTGCTATTTTACGCTGGTAATCTGTGGGAGCGTTGTCCTTCCCCGGTCGAGCCGACCCATTCGTGCTACAACTATACTACTAATATAGCTACAGCATGGCTCTACCACTTAAAAACTGATTCTCGTACTCCACCACATGACAATTGTTACGATATATATAGTTTACCGTAAGAGGAAATGTGGGTGTCGTACGAGACGACAGAGGGAAACAAAGCAGTAGATGGGCAGCAGTCTTCCTAATATCGACTAAAATAAAAAAAAACTGTGGTTGCCAATCCGTGGGCTGAGCGTGGCAACTATGGCAAATATCCCCCGTGTTCGTATGTTCACCAGTGGACTTCGATAGGCTGTACCGGTAACGGTAACATAGTTTATCAAATAAATGTTTACACTACGCAGCTGGAAACAGGCCTCCTCTCATAGTCAATATTTCATTCCACAGACATATGTAGATTTCCTCAAGATGTTTTCTTTTAGTGTTGAGCGCGTGGTAGATCCATTATAGTTGTTTTTTCATTGGTGATTTAAGTGATTTAAGAAGCCATTTTTATTCGTAATACCATCTTATGACATTTCAATGCCCTTCTGTATTTCACCTATTTTTTCATGGATTGTATATTTAAAATTATCATGTAATAAACAACAAGTATTTACCTTAAAAATAGGCCCTCGTAAATAAAATATGTTGCAAAAATCACGAATATGGGATATATCAATGGCAAAAGAACAAGCAAAAAGAGAAACAGTGTACCAATAAGCTTGAGGAAGGTTGGAAACGGCGCACCATAATGCCAAAGAGCACGAATGTCGTTCGCGAATTCTTTTACAAGCACTTTGAACCGACCCAAGCGTGTGGCCAAACGATACTGCAGAAAGAAAGATAAAAATTATTAAAACTGTTTATTGTTTTTACTTATTTATGTTTATACAAAATTAAAGTGACAAGCAAACTAACAGTTCACCTGATAGTAAATTTTTCATTGTTTTTAAATTAGAAGGCTATAACAGATGCGTTGTCAGTTGTCACCCAGGGGTCATTTTAATTTCATATTTTCCTTCCTCATATTGAATAAATAATCACACTCTTGGCAGGCGGGTTGAAAAAAAAACTCTTAAGGTCTCGTGTCTTTAACGGTGTCCCCCTACATATGATTGGATAATTTACATTTGTCATATTATATTGCTATACATAAAGTTACATTTAATAAAATAAATTAAAATTTCATCGGTGCTGACGAGAGGCGTATTATGAAATTTTATATTTATATGTAGATAGATAGATAGATGCAGGACTGTGCTTTGTGGCATTAATTGGGTCTTTATTTAGCAGTGGACTTGTGAAAGGCTGTAATGATGATGATGATTATGATTATATTATATAATTATGCCCACTGCAATGACCTCATAATTATTGCGCTTATACAACTTGTAACAAAAACCCTGTGGTTCACGTTCAGTACGTTATCAGAGTCGGTATTCAAACGTAAAGAAATAATTTTTTTTCAAAAAACTTGTACATTAAAAATATTTTAATTTAAAAAGATATAATTTGCGAATTGTACTCGTATGTGGTTTTATTACCTCTGCATTATCCGGAGATTAAGAGGATTGTGAAAGACCCCCCTTCACCGACGCTCGTGTCAGTTAGAAGTAATAAATCCACATATAATTTGCAAATTATTTTTTTTAATCAAAATATTTTTTTAATGTTCAATTTTAAAAAAAGAAGTTATTTCTTTACGTTTGAATACCGACTCTGATAACGTACTGAACGTGAACCACAGGGTTTTTGTTACACGTTGTATAAATTCCATGCCAGTATTGTATTTAGCAGCCTACAACTCTGTGGCCCAGCTGGGAAGGCTGGTTTTGGGTAGACATGCAGCGGTGACCATGAATTTTTATCAAACGCTTTGGCCAGATAACCATTGATGAATATAACATTCAGAGAAATTTGAAATTTAAGCATTTGGAAAGAAATTTTTAATTACAGTATTTTTACAGAATATCGTTGTTTTATCGATATAGAATCAAAACTATTTAATACTTTTAGAATAATTATAAAAGGTTAACAAATATAATGTTAAGTATAATTTATATGTAATTGGTTTCTCGAAAACGGATTTGAACGAAGTTTTGTGCTATCTACTAGACAGATGGACCCTTTTAGAAATGGAAGGTCTGAGCCCAGCAGCGCTGTTTAAAGGTTATAACTTTAGATATATGTAATGAAGGTGATGGCTATAATAAAATAATATATCCACAGTCAAAAAATTGCCTTAGTGTAATATGGAAATAGGTAGCTACAGTCACTATAGTCATTGAAGTAATATATATGTACCAAGTACATAAGTAACTTTTTACGTGGTACAGCCATGCTGCAGCTATATTACTGGTATAGTTGTAGCACGAATGGGTCGGCTCGACCGGGGAAAGACCACGCACTCACAGAATACCAGCGTTAAATAGCAGTTCAACGCTACTGTGTTTCGTAAGGATGAGTGTAGAGAACCGGAGACCCTTTTTATTGGAAAAGAGGCATTCTATATTAATCCTCACGGCTGACAACGCATCTGCATTTTAATTCGCAAACGAAGATAGATGTAGATGTATATGGGCCACAGCAACCACTTACCATCAGGTGGAATGTGTGCTCGTTTGTCACCCTAATTCTGTAAAAAAAAATATTACACTTCAACGCCTATAGTACGTTAGAGTTAAATAAGAATTTCAAATGTACTGTCTTTTGCTAAACATTTTCAGAAATTTGAGGCTTGAAGACATTATCTTACTTCGACCATAAAAGCTTTATTGGACCGACGGTATGGCTTCATGATGACCGTTCATCCCGTGCTTAGTTTTGTGTTTTCATTTTTGTATTCTGTTAAAATTATTTGTAATCCATTTTTATAGTATTTTTTAATTTTATTATGTATGTATATGTTTACTACTGTTGTTAACGTAATGCTATGTGTCATTGTTACGTCACATAGGTTTTTATCACAAACTATATAGTAACACTACGCGTTTTTATTAATACCAAAGAGAATATAATCATTACGTTTACTTCTCCTCACCCTTTCCCTTCCGTAAGCCAGGTACATTCATTATTACGTACCTTTATTCTATTTCTAAAATTTCGTTGGTTAATTTCGCAACGAAAATATTCGAACTACTATGAAAATACTATGAAATCTTATGGTACTACATTTTAAGCAATGAAAGTTTACGTGGTGCGCAAAGATTATACGAAAGTGAGTCGTTACCGTGTTTGCAAAAACAAGGAATTAACGCTCGTGTACCACCCAATTGAAGAACAATTTTTGCAGCTAACAAAAGACTGTTAGACTTTGGACAGTTTACTATTCCGTTACATGGAAGTGCTCGAGGTGGTCATTTAGTAATAAGCAAGGCTGTCGAAAACGCAGTGGTCAACTTTTTTAAGCGAAACCCCAGAGCCAGCACAAATTACACATCACGAGTTCAGAGTTAGCCAGTAGATGTGAAAACTGCTGAATTCTTCTTCAATCAATTCATTCATTCATTCAAAACATTTTTGTGAATGGTTAGTGTTATTTTAAGTGATTGCATGTTTAATTTGTGAATAGTTGTTTTAAATATTTAATAGATGTAAATACTTAATTTTTTTTTTAAAATACGCCATAATATTTACAGTCAACGGTTACGTCGTTGAAACGTATTTTTATTTACTCTATTTACTACGACGGACCTAAGCCAGTTTAAAGTATGAAAGGAAAATTAGAATCATACTTCGCGTCACGTAGTTATTAACCTAGTAGCGACCATGTCATTAAGGAAGTAAATAGTAGGCAAAAACTCCGTGCATTGACTCGTACATACACGAGCGCACGTATGCTGTAGTTGTTGCCCATAAATCACATTCAATTTCGAATATTTTCTAATAAATGTAGAAACCTTATTTACGAGTATTTTTAAAAACTGCACAGTGTATATTATGAACTTAGTTATTAAATTTGGCTAGTCCTTGAAAAATAACCCTGTATACATTTTACATTTCCGAGAAACCTATTACATACTTATATCCATTCCCTTACAGCCTATCAATGTCCACTGCTGAACATAAGCCTCCCCCATAGATTACTTAAAAGGGGGGATATTCACAAAGCACCAATATTCAGCAAGCGGGTTGGCAATCGCTGTTTTTTTATTTTAATCGTTATTATATATCGTCGAAGTTACTGCTGTCCCTCTTCTGATTTGTATCCCTCTGTCGCCTCTTATGATACCCACGGGATGATATGGGGTAGTGGATATTCTTACGCCTCCACGCCGCTACACGGTAAATTATATATGTTGTATATAATTGGTTTCTCGGAAAGGGATTTTTCTATTTTGGGGTGCAATTTTGTAATAATGTATAGTTTTACGCTGCAAGTTTAATTATATAAAATTATTATTTATTTATGTTTTTATACCGTTCAATACTTATAAAAATTATTTCGTTATTGATAAATAATTTACCAATAATTAAAACTATTAACAATTAAATATATTTATAAATATTAATAATAATAAATTAGGGTTTAAAATATTAAATATAACAAAATGCATGACGTATTGAATATAAAAATACATTTGATGCCAATAGGATGTAAAAAAGATTAATCTTATGTAAAAGAAAAATCAGTATTAAAATTCATGTATTTATAAAATGCAATAAGTAAAATATTTTAGATCTAAAAAATATCTCAGTGTTTTCATTTATTTTTTTCGCTCTTCAAACTTTACGTAGATAGGTTCTGTTGAGCGGAGCATTAAGTCCGAGGTGTATACCACATCCTGTGGTCTGGTGACTGCTAACAGTTTGTAGCTTCTTAAAATTGTTGAAAGCGCCAATTTCATTTCGATTATAGCAAATTTTTGGCCTGCGAATGTAACCTTTAATTGTAATCGAAAGTGTAAATAATAATAATAATAATATTCCACAACTATCAAACAACGCCATCTAGTCCCAAGCTAAGCAGAGCTTGTGTTATGGGTACTAGACAACTGATAAACATACTTATATATTTCTAAATACATAAATATTATAGATAAATTACACCCAGACACAGAACAAATGATCGTGCTCATCACACAAACATTTGTCCTCGGTGGGAATCGAACCCACGACCTCCGGCGTAGCAGTCAGGGTCACTAACCACTAGACCAACAGGCCAGTCAAAAGTAAAACAAAGAAAAAAAAGCAAATATTTCAATTTGATGCATAAATAAGGAGATTCTTACTTTTTTAAACTTAAAAATTACACCTTGCACCTTAAAAACACTCCTTTTTTTAATTAGCCCATAAAGGTTCAGTGCTGGATATGGGACTCACCCATTAGGATTTAACTTGGTTGTCACGCTTGGCAGGTGGATTGACTATCATATTAATAAATTAATGTTTCTAATCGCCGTCGCTGGTCTGCGTATTTTTCGCCTGTTGTAAACGCCATCTATCGGAAACCATTAAACCTTTTTGGTATATCTCGCCAGTCGCCATAAGTCGTTCGACAGAACTTCGTCCGTTGTATATTATCTATGGCAGGCAGATACGTATATTATCTATGGCAGGTACCGCGTAAGGCTCGCCACATACATACGGAATTCTGTTTCGAGATTCCGTTTCGATATTCCGATTCGGAATCCCGAACGCAGCAAGTCCATATAAAATCTATGACCCGCCACAAACGTACGGTAGTTTTCCGTTCGATATTTTGCGGGCAAAACGGAATTCCGTTTGTGTGTGGCCGACCGTTCGAAATTCCGAAACGGAATCTCGAAACGGAATTCCGTATGTATATGGCGGGCCTTAAGGTGTGGTTGATATCTTGCTACATATATATTTATCTATGGTTGATATTTGAGAATGAATAGATGTTGTTGTCGCTCTCACACACAATCACTAGTATTACATATTACAGGTAATAATTGAATGAAAATGATTTTACCTATACAATTCCGAGGGCCTGCGCTAAATGGTATATAAGCATATGGATGCCATGTGGGCTTATCGGTCATAAATCTCTCCGGATGAAATTCTTTTGCGTTTGGAAATTGATCCTCGCGTCGATGCAGATCATAGATTAAAATGCAACATTCAGTTCCAGCAGGAATCTCGTAGTCCCCTGGATTAAACGAAAGCAATTCAAGCAAAGGAATATAAAATAAATTTATTTTTTCATAGGTAAGAGTCAGTCGTTACTTTTCAAAAATTAACAACTTATACAGATAGTTACTTGTCCTAAGGCGTGCGTATCCCATACAAAACATTGTATGTAGTTTCAAAATTTAATTATATAACTTCACTTACTCAACTTGACACGATGCTCAATAGATCTTAATATAACGGGCACTGAAGGATAAAGTCTCAAACATTCTTTGATGCAACACTCGAGGTATTTTAATTTTGATAAGTCGCTTAAAAATGGTGATGTATTCAATGACTCTAACAATTCATTACATTCTTTTACCGCTCGTTCCTGAGACCAGAAGAAATTAATAAATAGAAAAAAATATATGTTATCAGATTGAGTTATATGTACTACGTACTAGAGAAGCCATTCCAAACACAAAAATTGTGTCCTACTCTATGTCTTCGCGCATGCGCGGGAGTAATAGTCGCGCATGCGCGAAGACTTTAATTTAATATAAAATAAGATATTAATATAAAATTAATATGAGGATTTAATATAAAATATCTTAATTTAATCTAAACAAACATATTTCTAAATAAAATGTAATAATAATTATTTTATGGAATTCACAAATCTTCAATTTACGCAAAATTTAGTTTGTATGGATTGCACTACAGTTCAGTTGAACATAGTCAATGTTCGGAATGGCTTCTCTAGTACGTAGTACATATTATAACTCAACGTGTCATCATCATTGCTTCCCACTATTAAAAGTAGTACTCCTAAACCGAACCACCTGCGTCCATTAACTAATCATAGACATGCAGTCTTTGATTATTAGGTCATTCTCCGCATGTTTTAAACGATGTTGCAGAATTAGTTTATTTCACCCAAGTCAAAATAAATTCAATTGTTACCGCCTGAAACTTCAAAGGAATAGTAAACAAAAAGGAACAAGGGATGCCATTCGATACAATTATGATGCTTTTAAATGGGTCAAATTTTTAAGGTAATCACTGCAAATTAACAAATTACAGAAAATATAAAATCTCGACAACATCAGAGGTAACAGTACTGTGGGATATGAATTAGATAATAATATTAATGTAATAAACCGTATAGTGGCGTTGTAAGAATATCCACTACCCTAGGTGTCGTTGCGTACTGGACGAGTATGTACATGGGTTGTTTTATCCAACAAAGATCCAGTTTTACGAACTCGTTCCAAAAATTGATCCACAAACTGCGTTTTTGGCACATCCTTTTTGTCAAATTTTTTTTCGTAAATTTCTTATAGTTTGAATAGAAGACTCACCACTTTGGAAATAAGTCTTTAATATTTCCCAACTTTGTTCAAGCGAAAAGCGACTCATTTCATAAATATCAAACATAAAACTAACTTTCTGTCACATCGGAAACATCATCAAACCTTCCAACCTCAAAATTACCTATAGTTCCGATTTCAAATGTTAGATGGCCCATCCTGTAGTTATGACCAAATATTAGTAATTTTAATCAAAGCAAACAACAAGCAGTAGAAAGCACGATAATAGCAACTAAGACTTTGTCGCCACTAACAAACTTCACGTCGCATATTGCTGTTTACTACAATGTACTGCTGATATTGCTGGCAATATTATTGAGGATTTGTAGCCACTTATTATAGTGAAAATGTGGCCTCTTTAAAAGCACCTTTAGAAGTTCATAATAGCACGTCTATAAATACCTGTACATGTGGATAATTTGCAAACACCATCAAAGCGTACTGTAGAGCTGTAGCTACTGTATCGTGTCCCTTAAATAAGTAAATTAATCATATAAATTATACTGTTATAGTCAATTTGCTTTTCAAATCAAAAATAATAACAGTACTTACTCCAAACATAAATGTATCTACTTCTTCCTTAATGCCATCAGCATCTATATCTCCTTCTTTTTCGGCTTGAAGTAATAAATCCAACATTGCCAGGCGCTTCTTACCTGCTGATATCATAGTTTTGTCATCGAAAGTATTTTCAATGTCTAAAAATAATTTATTATCTTTAAATGCCTCTCTTCTTAAATCAATTACTCGATCTCGAAATTTATTCATAAAAGTCAATATTTCCTTTTGTTTTCGTCCTTTATGGGAAAGGTTGAATATAATATTTGGGAACATCCAGAGTCTTAACGATCGATATATTGCACATTTTATTATTTCAAGCACACCATGTTTGTACGCTTTTGCAAACTCTTGTGTTTCCTCGTCTAATTTGATACCCATTGCAGTTTCTGTAGTGAAAAATGGATAAGCATGTAAATTATGATAATTTACACTAAGTTGTGTAGAAGTAATAGTAGAGAAAAAGCTCACCACATATTGAGTTTAAAGTAAACTCTTGTAAGTAAGGCTCCACATTCGTTTTTGGTTTGCCCACTTCACATTTCAACTTTTCGACTAACTTTTTACTGTTTTCTTCTAATATTAATTTGTAAATGCTTAATACATTAAAGTAAAAAGCAGGTGCCAGCAATTTTCTTCTGAACTGCCACTTAGAACCTGTTATACAGCAAAATAACTTTACGCACTTTCGGAATGCATCATGGTCAATAAGTATGTAGTAAGTTTTTTATGAGTCCAAGTGAGGCCAAATCATGTAAACATTGAGAAATTTGCAGGTTTTTAACGACTTAAAAAAGGAAGGGTTCTACATGCAACGCTTGCGTGTTTTATGTACATTCACCGATTCCGAATTGCCGAATTTAAATTTGCAAAAACAATCCAACCCTTACGAGAACAAAGAATAACAAAATCTTCGAGCTATTCGATATCCTCATTTCTAAGTTTATCACGCAGAGAAACCACAAGAATAGCCCTCTCCATAGCTCGCTGAGCGACCTTGAGCTTCATCATACGGCCAGCAGTGAAGGACCACGACCAGATCCATAAGTCATCACTGGCAACACGCACTGGTTGTATTGAGTTTTGAGGTATACCTGACGAGAAGATGTGTCGTAATTTCTCGAACGCTGCAAATTTTATTATTGTGTAGTTACTTTTTATGTTAAACTATGTTTCATCTCAAGCATGGGAGATTAAAGATCTTTATAATTAAGATTTTAAACTGTATTTAATTTTAATAAGTTATGTAAATCAGTGTCAGGGGCTAAGCACTCGCTGCAAATTTCACAGTACACAAGCAACATTGGTTTGATACCACAGTCACCGTTAAATAAATAACTTCTCAGAGATTCAACTTTCCTCACGATGTTTTTCTTCACTGCCAAGCACGTGATAAATCCGCAGTAAAAATTTTAATGAACCATTTCATCAACATCAGGGATCATAAATTGTTAAAAAATCTATTTGATTGGGTTTTGTTTGCTGTTTTTATTTTAATAAAATGGTGGGCAAACGAGCATTTCTCTCATAAACATCTGCAACACCAGAGAAAATTCAAGAGCGTTGCCGGCCTAAACTAGGCTCTTTTCTCGAAGGTCGTTAAGTTTTCAGTTTTCGCTAAGCCAGTGATTTTTATTCCACGTTAGTGGTAAAAACATAAAATTATACTAAATAAATATCTGAATTGAATAAAAATTATTATTATTTATTCTATTCTTTGGCTCCTTTCGCCGACAGACTCAGTAATTTATTTCGCATAAAGAATTTAATTGAGTTCCCAACAAACGTTTCTCTTTTGTTTCATATAAGCTGTTACGCGCACAAAACAAGTTAACATGAGCTCGTATTCACTGATATTATAAATTGCTGTTTTAAGTACCGATTTACCACGTGTTCAAAATTGAAAGAAAACAATATGAGGAAACCTTTTTTTTTTAATTGGATAACGGTGACAAACGAGCACGAAGTCTACCTGATGGTAAGTGGTTACTGTGGCTCATAGACCTCAATTACGAATTTAAATGCAGATGCTTTGACACCCGTGAGGACTAAGATAGTACGTCTCGTTTCCAGTAAAAAGGGTCTTCGGTTGTCTACACTCACGATACAAAACACAGCGATTGAGCTGCTATTGCACGCTGGTTTTATTCTATGAGAGCATGGTCCTTCCCCAGTTGAGCCGACCCATTCGTGTTAGAACTATACTACTTATACAGCTGTAGCATGACTCTACCACGTAAAAAACTTGCATGCAATGGAGCATCGCAGTGGATTAAGTCCTCCATAATCCTGTTAATACTTAGCGGAGGTCTATGTTCAATACGAGACGTCTCAAATTACTTTTAATTAATTAATTTTAATGTAGTACTGAAGACACGACTTGACCGTTCTATAGTTTGGGCTTTCATAAATTAAGGCTATTAAAAGTAAAACGAAAAGTTTCACTGCAGTTCTGACTCTATTTTAGGAACTATATTTATTATTCGCCGACGTACGGAGGTTTACTGTAAGCAATTTCGTATTTTTATTTGTTAAAATGAAAATACACGATGAAAGAAAAAAGATAACTGCACTACCTGGGGTACAACTCATTACTCTGTGATAATAGTGTTCTGTGGAACAAAGGATCCATAAATAGTTTACCCTTTACTATTAAATATTAGATTAAATATTTGATAAATTCTTTTAAAGATTAGATTAAATAATTCGCCACCTATCCTCCTGTGGATGTGACAAGAGCCGCTTATGAAAAATGCCTGTAGATCTCATGACATTAAAATGATAGCCCTGTAATACACAAATGGTAAAATTAAAAATTTTGTACAACTGACTTCAATACAAATGTAATTTGTTGTTGATTTTTTAAAACCGCTCGACCGATTTCGATATAATTTAAACGGAACTACCTGAGAAGTATAACCCTTTGAAACAAAAAAATAATTTTCCATATCGGTTCAGGCGTCTTCGAGTAATCGGTGTACATATATAAAAAAAACCGGCCAAGTGCGAGTCGGACTCGCGCACCGAGGGTTCCGAACAAATCCGTAGGTATATAAGTTTAAAATTATTAAAAAATATTGTTATTATATGATTTAACTAAAAAATTATGCTTTTCGCAATTTTTCTTTTATCTGTGCTATAATACTTTGCTTCGTACCAAATTTTAAGTTTCTGAGTTCACGGGAAGTAGGGGAGAGCGGGGCTAAAAGTTACCGGGGTAAATTGTTCCGATTGGAATAGCTCCGCGAGAAAAAGAGATAAAAATATGTAGTAAATTCGTCGCGAAATTGACCGTTGCAGCGCACGAACGGCAGCCATCCGGTATATGGGAAAGTGAGTTCATGCGTCACTGATCCGTGTAAGTAAATATTTTCATTTTTAATATTTATGGTCAATCTCACGAATTGTAATAAGTAAATTTTAATTCTTTGGTGTTTTAATACAAAAATATATCGAGTATCTTGATATACGACGCTAAAACTGCGTATGTTTCGTAACCTAACCTATTATTTACTTTTTGGAGGCCATGTGTTATTGGGGTTAAAAGTTCCTTTCTTTTGGGGCACGTTGTGATCTCGGAACAACTTACCCCAGTACCAGTAATGAAGTAAAAATATTGTTTTCTTTTCCTTTTGTAGCATGCGGACTTACACTCGGAAAACAACACGAGGTTCTGTATCTCAGGAGTTAATGCAAAGAGCGGCGGATGCAGTCATCAAAGATGGAAGAAAAATAAAAACTGTTGCTAAGGAATTAGATATTTGTCATATGACATTATACAGGTTTATTAAAAAGCTAAAATCTGGAGTCGAAAACGTTACGATTGGCTACAAAAAAGTAAGATTGGTCTTTAGTGAAGAACAGGAAAATATATTAGCAGAGTATCTGTTGAAATGTGCTGCAATCTTCTTCGGTCTTTTACCAGAAGAAGTACGAAAATTAGCATTCGAATGTGCACAAAAATTTAACACACCTAATATTCCGTTATCTTGGTATAAGAATAAAAAAGCTGGGTAAGCGGGGCTAAAAGTTCCGTTTTTTATTTAACATAATAATTACATTAGAAAAAATAGCTGCAGTATTAGTTTTACCAGATCATAACCTGGACATATATGTAACGTTGATATAAAGAAGGTTTTTTGGGACTTATTTCGTTAGATTTTTTTACATTTAATATTACAATAGATAAAGTCAGAAAGTAACAATTTACCCCGTCTTGGGGCTAGTTGTTAATAGGGTGGGGTAAGTTGTTACAGGATTGATTAAAGGTATAATTTGTAAAAAAAAACAACTACAATTAGTTTAATCAACTTTATATGAACTAATCCACAATATCTTACGAATTATCAGTAGTTTTCTCTTAAATTGTCAATAAACTAAACGTATTTAACATTTCAACGGTTCAATATTAACTATTACTCATATAATTAACAGCTTTACTAGCTAATCAGCCTTGATAAATTAGTATAGAATGTTGTATTTGACTGGAAACCCCTTGGGAATGATGTACCCAAAAATATTTAAACACTTGTTATTTCTAATCCAAAAATATTATATGCCAAGACGTTAGTTATCAATGAAATACTCGTAGTTAAACAACTTATCATCCTTAGTTTTACGCCTTAAGTGTAGAATTGTCAAAACTACTGGAAAACATACTCTTTGTTTTTAATGTAAAGCCGTAATCACCCAAGAAAATAGTAATTTATTATACTTATAAAATTTTAAGTGAAATTTCCATAAATCCTTAATCACTTAGTTTTCAACCAAAACCCCAAATAACAATTTAAAAATAGTTTGGAAAACCCAAAAGTGCACGGCTCATGAGCGTTTCATTTAATTTTGATGAAAAAATAAAAATGGTGAAGATAATTGGATGGATCCTATTCAACTCCTAAGGGTTTGAATTTTCCAAAGTTCCGTTATATAGTATGCCTACGCAAAGGAACCAACTGTCCCAATTTAACGCTTCTACGTGCAGAGGTTTATGCTAAGCGTCTAATACAATATTTTCATATAAACTTTGTAGCCTTGTTTTAAAACTAAATTAAAGACTAAGTTGAAACGCCACACAAAATATAATTTATTTTATTGGTAATATTAGGCATCAGAAATGTAATCAACTGAAGTAGCATGTTAGCAGTAACGTGCTTAACAACTGAAGTAGTTAAAAATGCGGTCTCACAGACGCCATCAAGGAAAAGAGTAACCATTACTCTCGCTAATTAGATAACGTTATATATTACCAAAGTTTAACAACTAAAAATCGAACCGTGGGCAAAAGTAAGTTTTTTAATATAAAATAGTTCCTTTTTGTTTATGTATTTTGTTATTTGTATTTGTGTATGTGTTATTTGTAGTGTTACTAGATAGAAATTTATAAAATGTATTTATTACGTATAAAACCAAGTTATTGTTATCAGACTAATTTAAAAATATTTTACCTGTACTTAAAGCAAGTCCTTCCGCCAGCCATGGTTTTATAAATTTGTAAGGGTAGCCTTTTGTGATAAATTTAGGATCACTGAAAATAATCTGCAAGAGAAATTATTAAAATACTTGTACTTGTAGATTTTCTTGAATATATTTATTTATCTTTATACATAAAAACTACGTGTTACGTTGTTTGTCCGCGATGAACTCCTAAACTCGTGAACTGATTTCAATGAAATTTTGCACACTTTGTGCAGTTTGGTCCAACTTGAGAGATAGGATAGTTTTTATCCTGATAAGTGACATTCAATATTTTTATTACGAATTTAAGGATTTTTCATATGAAGGGTCATCGAAAAAGGCAGAACAACGTCTGCCTGGCCAGCTAGTAGTTTATAAAATATTTATACTATATATTTAGTACTAGAGTACGTGAGGGTAATATTGTCATCCGGTTAATATGTCACTTTGTTATAACTCAAAAACTACAGCGTCGTTTGCATAGATGGCTCTGTGATGCGTTAGCTCTTCATCAGTCATTCAAATAATAAAGGGTCAAAAGGGCGCCGCTTTATCGACGCCATTTTGACAGTTGATATTATAGTAAGTACGTGAGGGTACTATGGTCACCTTAAGCTTTATCGCCCTATAGAACCAAAATTAGGAGGAGTACAGAGAAAAAAAAACACAAAGTCGTATACTATAACTAATACATTAATAAAAAAATATAGCAAACAAGCTTTGGAAATAATTAGGAACACTTCGAAAACCTTCTACCTTAAAAAACTAACTACACTACACAATACAAAAATCGACTAAAATATTTACAATAATATCAACTGTTAAAATTGCGTCGATAAAGTAGCGCCTTTTTCACGCCTTTATTATTTGATAGACTGATTAAGAGCTATCGTATCACAGAGCGTTCTATGCAAACGACACTGTAGTTTTTGAGTTATAAGAAAGTGACCTTATTAACCGGATGACAATATTACCCTCACGTACTATAGTTAGTTTTTATTAAGTTGATTTTTCGAAGTGTTGCTAATTATTGCCAAGGCTTGTGTTATTTTTTTCTATATTAGTTATAGTATACGACATTGTGTATTAGTCTCTGTTCTCCTCCTCCTAGTTTTGGTTTTATAGGGCGGCAAAGCTTAAGGTGATCGTATTACCTTCACGTACCTTAGAATTTATTTTGTGGCTACAAGAAACTCCTGGATTTGAATTAACATTTCCTTGCCCTAAAAATCCTCTCAGAAGTGAGAGGAGACCTGTACCCAGCAGTGGGTCGTATGTAGGCTGTAACTTTATATGAACATTACGAGTGTTCGTACGTGCTTGATTTAAGCGAGTTATTATTGAGTAATGACAGAGCATAATATCTAAAAAGAGGTCAAGTACGGTTCTCTGCAGTGCAATTACAATTTAATATTATTAGGTGTCATTAATATTCCACAACTATCAAACAACGCCATCTAGTCCCAAGCTAAGCAGAGCTTGTGTTATGGGTACTAGACAACTGATAAACATACTTATATATTTCTAAATACATAAATATTATAGATAAATTACACCCAGATACAGAACAAATGATCGTGCTCATCACACAAACATTTGTCCTGGGTGGGAATCGAACCCACGACCTCGGGCGTAGCAGTCAGGGTCACTAACCACTAGACCAACAGGCCAGTCAATTAATACATATTGTAATCAAATTGGACAATAACAAGTCTCTAACTTACATCCTATTTTCATATCAAAAAGTACCCTGTGGTGTTTCCTATTATCACGTAGATCCGTCATCAGATACGAGCTAATTACTCCAAATAAAATTGGATGATGATGTTTTGGTGTTTACCATTTTACCGGACCATCGACACGTTTTGGTCTGGTATTTCGATGATTTTAAATCCGCTAATACTCGTATAAATAAGATGTGATCAGACCACAAAATCTTTATTATATTTTTTTATTCGAATTTCCGTCACTCACAGGACATACATTAACATTTTCCAATATCCTGGCAGTGATATGTATACATAAAAAAAGGAAATATCATTGTGTCCTGCTTGTCGTATATAACTCATATACCTACTGTAAGTAAGTTAATTCTGTTAGTAAAAATAATTTCAACGACGTAAGAATAAAAATACGAGCAGCTTACCTCTACATCTTCCGGATCATATATAGCAAGTACTTTCTTTGGCCCAATTTTAAGTTTAAATAATCTTTTATATTTTTCGGTCAGCTCTCGAAAATAGTAAAATGTCTTAACTAAAACGAGATTTTTTTTAGTTTTAAGGGACAATTAAGAAATATAATAAAATACAATTTAACTGTTATAGTAATGTTTGAACATCAACCAATTAAATATGTAATAAATATGATTATTTTGTCACAATTTATTGTTACGGCTAACAACCACGATATTTTCCACATTATTTATGTGCTTGAAGTTCGATTAAGTACACCAGGTACTCTCAGTAACTTAGACCAATAAAGAAGTACTCATGAATAACATTGGTTAGGTATTTTCGTATACATGAAAAACCTGTTTGTTATCCATGCCTTCACCTTTTTAAATAAATTTAATGTGATTGTGCATGTGCATAATACATATCTATACATATAATAAAACTGTAAATAGCAGATGTCTGTACATTTTATATTTTTGTAATAAAAGTGATTGAGGGGTACTAAAAATAAGTAATTAAATACATTTCTACCATTTTTAGAATTTTCTGTCTGTCTGTCTGTCTGTCTGTCTGTCTGTTTGTTTGTTAACGTATCACGTATAAAGTACTAATTTATATCATAAGAATTGTTAAGGAAATTATAAAGTGTATCTTCGGGTTACATTTAGTCTTTATTTCATTAAAATCAGTTCATTCCATCAAAAGTTATGATAAATATTCTGAAGTATGGGTAGGGAAGTATAGGTACGAATTTGCTCAACGGTGGCTTTGTTTGAGTCATCAAGTGCATTTTAAACTAATATCATATCATAAATCATAGTTAAATTATGTAAAATAATGATATAATTATCTATATCTAAAGCGCAGTAAACAAAAGTAATAAAGAACGTATTAAATATATTATACAAAAATATATTAACCTTATTAACTAAATCTGAAGCACAATAGTTAACCCATTTCTTCGATAGATGGTGGTGTTGTGAAAATGCAATTGCAAATGTGGTTTTTTCCTGTAGATGAGTTTTCATATTTACTGCTAATCTTTATTATATTACTCGCTGCCCTACTGCGTGTTGACAAACTCAATTTATTCTTTACCGCCGAGTACTCTATGTGGTAAATCAAATTTTAAAAGAGCTATTAACAATTGCATTGGTTTTGGCGAGAGTCAAACTTTATTTTTTGCTTACTGTGCAGGCACTGATTTATAAGTTCTCTTACGTTTTATATAATTTATCAATCGCGTCAATTAATCTCTTTTATTTTTAGAATTGATGATGTTAGCAGCGCCATCTCTCTTTAAATATATACATATAATAAAAATGATGATAACATGTTGTGTCTGTTTCTGTACATTGTAGGTATATATTATATTTTGGTGGCTAAAATCATTATGGGGAACTGAAAATAATTAAATAAGAACATTTTATAATTGTCTGTCTGTCTATTTGTCTGTTATTATATGAACGCATAACGTCTAACGTAAACATCTTTTATTTTCAAAGCAATCGTTAAGAATATCATAAAGCGTATCTTCGAGTTACATTTAATCTTTGTTTTATTAAAATTGGTTCATTCTATCGAAAGTAATGATTATTATTTTGAAATGTAGGTTCGAATTTGTTCAATGGCGCCATAAAATCTCAGAAATAGTAATAAAAAGATTTCTGTGTAAAAAAAAAAACGTTCCATAATAATTAATATATTTATACTTAAAACACAAAAAGAGATAGGATGTTTTCTCACACAAAGGACGTAATAGATGGAGTTGTACAAATTACAAACTTTTCTGAATTGCTGTGTTGAGATTTTTCGCCGATGAATCGTATTGAGACTGACTGAAGAAATTTGTATCCATCGAAGCCATACAACGGAACCCGACCAAAAATGAAGATTTTGTAACGAAATGTCGTGATATTGTATTTATAATATACGCAAAATACGCAAAATCAGAACTGCCATTTTAGCGCTTTGGGAACTAGATTTAGCACTTTTTTGGAATGTATAGCGCGCATTTCGAAATTTTAGCACCTAGCGCTTAATCCAGCGCTTTTTGGTGTATTTAGCACACATGTCAATATTTTAGCGACTAGCGGGTTATTAACTCTTTTATAGCAGCACTGTTAGTCCACATTACCGATAATAATAATAATGACCTTTATTATTTTTTCCCACAAATAGTACATTGCAGTTTATCTTTTTCAAACATATTTTTTCCACAAAACAAAGAGCATGGGAGACGAGTCCAAACTAGGATACCCTGTGCTATGGATCTCCTGGCTTCCTCTTTAGAATGATCAACTTGATTTTTTTACCGACGACTATAAGCGGGGAAATCCCCTTTATTAAAGTTTTCGTTCATGGTTTTGGCAACGCATTTATTTTGCTTTATTCAGTTTTAGTCAGTTGCTTAGAGCACAGCTAAGTTAAAAGTTACATAGAAGTTATAACACAAAGAAACTGTGTAGCAACCGCAATCAGATGCTGACATCTGAAACTAAGTTGCGAAATACATTGCACTTTAAAACAATTAATGACATTTTTATTGTTCGTACAGTACTAACTACTCTTGACAGCAATTGCTATAATTATAAGTCGATGTCCTGCGAGGTATTGATACATCAAAAAAATATTGCCAGAAAAAAAACTTAATGTTGTTTTCTTTATTATGATTATATAAAAAAACACAAACTTTGTTTGTAGTTAATTTAGCGCGAAATCTAGCGCTTTTTGTGTTGTCCTAGAGCTGAATGAGTTTTTTTTATCTGGCAGCACTGCCCAAAAACCCTCTATTAAGAAGTAACTTTCCTTTCAGTTTTAAGCGCGTTCAGTTCCCAGTTACAGTGAGTGTGTGTTATGCGATGACCGTAAATAAAGCGCAAGGTCAAACTTTACGCGTTGTAGGAGTGTACCTCAGTACTGACTGTTTTGCACATGGCCAACTCTATGTTGCTTTTTCCCGCGTTAGTAGCCCCCGTAACCTTTTTGTGTATACCCCGGCTAAGCCTACTTCTAACGTCGTTTACACAGAAGCTCTATCATAAACGACTTAGAACTTTGATGATAATGATTTATTTTGTTACCACTTATTGATACAGTAATGAAATAAATCGTTTAATATTCTCTTACCTAAACGACAAATTCTTTATGTAAAACCTGTATACGCGAGCTACGCCGCGGGCACAGCTATTATACATATATTTCATAATATGATTAAAGACTTAGATTAATGATTACGACCTATCATTAATCTATGGATTAAAGATAATACCAGTTTGCAATTTTAAGAAGCCCAATGGTTAAAATAATAATTTAAGAAAACCCGACTGGGTGAAAAGTCACTTCCACAATTAAGACAAATCTAAAGACGCCTCATATCTTAAACTCCATCAAGTCAAGTTCGGGCTACAAAGCGTGCCAAAGAAATAGACATACATTTACTCAAAAACCATTACCCTCCTTCTGAGGCAGTCGTGTAAAATGCGGTCAGGTTCAGGGAGTCGCTACTATAGGCTTTCACTTTACAGACAAATTTAATATTCTTATTTGTCTGTTTTTTTTTTATAGAATAATGAATGAAAAACCGACCATACAATGTGAGAAATAACAAGTTCAGATTAAGCTATGTAGTAATCTATGAATAATAACGTTTTTTTTATAGAATAAGGGTGACAAACGAGCACACAGTCCACCTGATGGTAAGTGGTTGCTGTGACCCATAGACATCTACATCTATCTTAGTTTGCGAATTAAAATACAGATGCGTTGTCACCCGTGAGGACTAAGATAGAATGCCTCTTTTCCAGTAAAAAGGGTCTCCAGTTCTCTACACTCATCATACGAAACACATCAGTGTTAAGCTGCTATTTCACGCTGGTATTCTGTGAGAGCGTGGTCCTTCCCCGATCGAGCCGACCCATTCGTGCTACAACTATACTATTAATATAGCTGCAGCATGACTCTACCACGTAAACAGTGTTACGATTTAATCATTAAAGCTTTATAATAAATTAGTACCGTGTAGTGGCGGTGTAAGAATATCCACCCTATATCACCCCATGGGTGTCGTAAAAGGCGACAGAGGGAAATAAATCAGGAGTTGGGCAGCAGCGTCTTCCTACTCGTAATAAAAAAAAACTGCGATTGCCAACCCGCTTGCCAAGTGTGGCAACTATGGCAAATATCATGCCATGTGATGCAATCTATGGGGGAGGCCTATGTTCAGCAGTGGACTTTATTAGACCGTAACGGTATTATAAACTGTACCCAATAATTTGAGATAAATTAGACTTTGTTTAAACGAGCTAATTAAACACATTTTAGTAAGGAGACAAGGCTCATTTGACACCTACGTACAATTCAAAATAGGTTGATGGTAAAACATTTCTCACATTGAGAGCATCTGCTAGTAGATCATAACTTTAAAAACGAAGACATTGTCCTAAAGATTGTAATAACGTTTAATATAACCAGAATTGGTAGTAAGTACTCTATATGTGTGTACACAATAAAAATCTTACCAGGTCCTCTTAAGAAATCTAAAGAGTTGTTTATTAGAAATAGACCCGGTGGGCCTGGAAGGTTATCAAATTCGTTAGATTTAAATATATTTTTAAAAACGATAACAAATATCACCGCCGCGATAGAATACAATAAAATCCACAACATTTTACTTTTAATAGGGCAAAAATCTTGTAAGGACAATTTATAATGCAATAAAGATCGGATACTGATTGCCTATACTGCTTGAGTAAAACTAACGAGACTGTGCTTTCGATACAAAATATATAATATGTAAGTAAAACGGCACCAGCATATGACGACGTTACGAAATTGCAAAACTCGCAGAACCACTATGCGCCTACTAGCTAAAGCATACACCGTTAACTTCTTGGATCTGGGTGTATAACAGGTCTTGATAAGATACAATACAATTTGCATAACCTAATTACAGTATTTTATTGAAACAGAAACAGAAACTTTTTTTATTCAATATAGATTATAAATAATACTTATTGAAAGTCACTCTTTTGTTTAATTACCACTGGTTCGAAAAAAAACTTCTGTCCTGGGAAGAACCAACAAGAAACCCAGCGGGACTTTTTTTTTTAAAAATAACAGCTTACAATCATGTATGTTACACAAATTAACAACACAACAAATTAGAAATAGCTTGGTAGCGATCGCCTCATTTACAGGGGTTATTATCATCCATAAATTCTTTAATATTATTATAATATAACCCTTTTTATACAAACTTAGTTTAATAAAGTTTTTGAACTTTGAGCATGTAAAATATTGTATATTTTCTGGAATTATATACAATATTAAAAAACTTTAATAATAAAAAGGAAAACTAAAACTAATAACTTAATTATCATACAGTCCTCCCCGTGGTATCGTGCCAAGAACGCTGGTTACGTTTCCTCGCGGACCAGCCCTCTTATCACCAGCAGCAACGACCGGTCGCGGATAGAATTCATATAATTACACAGATATAAATTGGCGATTTCATAAGGTTTCCTACATTGGACAATGAATAAGGAAGATAGATATTGGCTTGAGTAATATTTTTTTCATTCAGCCGTGTAGTGACGGTGTACCCACAGAACGATATGAGGTGTATCCACTACCTCATATCGTTATGTGGGATGTGGGTATCGTAAAGGCGAAAGAAGGAAAATGAAACAGGAGATGGGCAGCAGTATCTTCCAGATAACACAAAATATAATAAACTAGCGATCCGTACCGGCATCGCTCGACATTTTCATTCACTCGACAATAGCTCCACCTACCGGGTCCAGTTGTGAATCTAAGCCAACCCACTCAGACGCATTATAAAAAAATATCAAAATTGGTCGAACCGTTATGGAGTTTTAGCGAGACTAACGGATAACAATTGATCTTTATATATGCGCGGTTGCCCCCGCCTGCTACGCGTGTCATTTCAACTATGACAAAATCCTCCCTATAAAATAATCAATGGAGAGGACCTAAGTTCAGCAGTGGACTTTTATAGGCTGTAATGGAGGGATGGATTGATATTATGTTTTCATATTATGTTGATGATGTGGTTTTACATCACTCATTTTCATCATCCCATTTTGTCCCGTGGGTGTCATAAACAGCGACTGTGGGAAATACTAAAAAATCTAGACAGGAGACGGGGAGCAGCGTAAAAAGTACGAACAGTCTGGTACTGTGATCGTCAATCCGTCTGCCAAACGTGGCGATTTAGGCTTCTCTACAACAGGAAAAGTCATGTCCACCACACAGACATTTATGGACCGATGACGAGAAAGAAGAAGATATTAAAAAAAAATTTGTATAGCGAAACCCCTCCTTTATTTGAAGGCGGTAAAAACAAAGATGATTTTGAAGAAATTACCTACGCTCTTAAACATAACACTTCCTCCTGGACCGCCAACTGGTGTAAACGTGTGCACAATCCATATATATATATATATATATATATACACACTTCGTTCGCTAGCAAGTTCAAACAGCGCAACATAATTGAACTCTTTGGTGCTCCTAGTATCCTGGTACGTGCAAGCAATTCGGCCACTGACAAGGTACGACTATTTACCTTCTCACGCGCAACGACACGCCCTCGAAGAGTGCGAAACCGCGCCTACTCATATGTCACTGGGTTGTGCAAGGACAGAGACTGTGTGCATAATAAACAACTTCCACTCCACACTACCACAATATCTCTGGGCGCATCATACTGTACAATACCTGTTTGCGCCTATACTCTTATGGTACTCGAATTGATTTGACTTTACCAGAAGAAAGCTAAATTCCGACGTTGCCGTGTAAAATAAGTCTTTTGGCAATCAAATATACCCAACATAGAACAACTACGAACCAGGCTGTAATTACTTATCCACTTTTTATTATCTCCTGGTACTTATAATGGAAGACATGAGCGGCAAATCCCTTTCTGAATCGAATATTTTCGGTCAAACAGAACAAAACACCCCTCCTAACTTCATTTTCCAACGAAGTAAAAGACTAAGAGAATGCTACTGCGACTCTGACTTCCTTGCTTTCAAATATGAAAATCACTGATATCATCTCTATTGTCACCACAGCAAGAGGAGTTAAACAAAATCTACTCGACACTAATAGAAATTAAATCTACAAATAATAACATAGATGGCGGTTTCTAGCTTCACTGTCGACACAAAATGAAGAGCTTAAAAATAAAATAGAACTACTCGAAGTACAAACAACAAAGGATAGAAATTATATTACTATTCTAGAGGACAAGTTAGAGGATCTGCAAAGGAGCTCCCGAAAGGCTAACTTTGAGATCAAAAATGTACCAAAAACGGCTAAAGAATCAAAAGAAGAATTAATGAAAATGGTCATTTCTTTATCTAGTGTAATTGGATGTGATATCGCAAAAACGCAGATTAGTGACATATTATACCGAGTTCAGAACAAGCATGCTAAGACTAAAAATAGTACAATCATAGTTGAGATGACAGCAACTATTCTGAAGACCGATTTATTTAAGAAGTCTAAAGACTACAACAGAACACATCACGAAAAATTATGTGCCAAGCATCACGAATTTAAGACGGAAGAGTACACTCCAACTTATGTCTAGGAACAGCTAACTACAAAAGGAGCTCGACTTCACTTTCTCGCGCGTGATCTGGCAAAATCCAAAGGATATAAGTACTGCTGGACAGCCTATGGCAAGGTATATATCAAAAAGGATGACAACTTTCCTACTATTGCCATAACAAGTGAGTCCATAATCTTTTACAACTTAAATGACTAGATTTTATATTATTGTTGATCATTTGTCATGCTTACCATACTTTGGTCTGTTGTTGCACTTAGCCGTAGGATAAATATTAAGTTTAATATCAGGTTAAACATTAACGAATACTATGTAATACTACTGATGATTATTTGTTGTACTTACCATATTTTACGCTGTTGTTACGCCTATTTTTCTGGTTTTTATAGGGACATTAGATATTTAAAATTAAATAGAATTAGTATTAATAAGAAGCTTATTATCAGGTTTAATATATACTTATACTATCTAAACATTTTGCGCGCTAACACACACTTTACACACAATTCCACACTCGTTCACGCTATCTCTTCCACAACAAACACACATACACTCACACATATACTTAATGTCTATATAGCTACGTTCTCCAGCACCTATAAAACCTATTATAATGAATAGCACCTTACAGACTTTGAACGACATAGACAATCACGAAATAGCCAAGTGTTCGACTGTGAACTCAACGAACTTACTAACCATATTAAGTCTAACTCCCCTGGATTTACTATTGTTTCACAAAATATTAGGTCCATTTACTCTAACTTTGACGACCTTCAACTAAACATAATATTTCTTAAAATAGATATCGATCTGATAATCTTAACTGAATGTAGATTAAATCCAAATAAACAAATACCTCATATAACCAACTATAATTCACACCAATCTACTAATCATCTTAATAAGGCTGATGGAGTGGTCGTATATATTAAAAACACATGTCAATATAAAATAAGGGAAATAAAGCTTACTCCTGCATCTTGTTTGGAGGTCCATATCTAACCTGACCTTATAGTCATAGCGCTTTATCAATCCCCCTCAACTACAAACGCTGACGAATTTATCCATTCCTTATATCATCACCTTACTACCATTGAATCAACTAAAAATTTAATTATCACAGGTAATATTAATATTAATCTGATACTAAATCAAGGCGAGCAATCACATGAACGCACAAATAGGCTTAATTATCTCAATATGCTGGCAATGCATGGACTCCTCCCTGGTCACTTGCTACCCACGAGAGGCAAAAATTGTCTAGACCATATCAATATAAAACTCGAACCTGCCAATAAAACTGCGGTCATTGCAATTATTCATACAATTATCACAAATCACTTCATGACTTTCCTAAAAATTACAAACAATACAAACATTATAAAATAAAATCAGTAAACCTACTAAAATAAAATCAGTTTTTAACGTTGAGAAAGGACTCGACCTCTTAAAAGATAGCAACCTGACCAACCTGCTGCAACTAATAAACCCTAACACACTAACTAATAAATTAATCGAAATTCTTCAAAACTGTATCGCACTTGGTACTATCACTATTGTAATCCCGTCAAAAAATAGAACCCTGAAACCGTGGATGACTATTGGTTTATTGAGCTGTACCGAACATAACCGAAACAACATGCAACGGAGACTGAGACTTGACCCTTTCAATGAGGTACTAAAAGTTACCTACAAAAGGTACCGAAATTACTGCAACTGCATCATCAAAAAACAAAAACGAAAATATGACAGACACGAACTTGCCAAAGCATATAAAAACCCTAAAAAAACGTGAGAGATCATTAACAACATTACACAGCGAAAACATAAAAACCAAATAACTTGGAACTCCTAGAGCTATCTAATACTCCCCAAAACTCTATTAACAAAATGAATAACTTTTTCTCTAACATGGGAAAGATTCTTGCGAACAATATCTCACCACCTCCGTATTCTACAGCAGCTAATAACGATCCTAGATCATCTTTATCTGCCTGTACATCGGCCTCTTCTTTTGCCCTGCTCGACACAGACTTTTATGAAGTTCATGCTACACTAATGAGCTTAA